GGGACGATCTGCTAAAGCTTGTCCGTAAATATCAGCTTCTAGACAGAGTATGTAGTAACAAACTGACCCTCTAGGGGGCAGTGCCACTTTTGATGGGAGATGAGCATAGACTGTAGGCAAATAAGAAAAAGGTAACGGTTCTATGAGAGAACATGTCGCCGGTGAGACGCAAGTCGAGGAAGAACGGAATAAGGTAGAAACACATTTTTTTTCCTGGTGAAAGAAAAGAGTCTACTCTTTCTTTTGGTGTGTTCGGTGTTTATATAGTCATAGGACAAACTATTCTGTGGCTCTTGAAAAATCAGTCAAAATGCTCCAAAAACTCTGGCAGTATGGGACTCTGTTCTGAAAATGGCTGGCAGTCAATCAGTTAATGGTAAAAACTTTTCTCAAAATCCTATTTTACACAATCAGATACACCTGATAACAGGGGGCAGAAGACTACACAAAAAATAATCTTGACTTGTCGCATAGTAATAAATTATTAACATTAGAAATGTATTTCAGTTTTTTCTTTTTACATATTTTGTTAAAAGGCCAAATAAGTAATTTTCTGTTTTGTTTTATTCTTGGATAGGGCTTTAAAAGTTTAAAATTAGTTGGAATCCTATCTATCTGAATGTGTCCAACAGGGGTTTGAGCAAAGCTTTTACCAGTGAACGATACAAAAAGTCTCAAACCCAAAACACTTCAGAAACCGTATGCATAAAACACGACCCATGATGCTTTATAGGTCCTAAGCCCCCCCCCCGGGTCTTAGCCCGCCTCACCGGTGCAGCTGGGCAGGTCGCACCTACCTACCTACCTACCTACCTATCTACCTATCTACCTACCTACCTATCTATCTATCTATCTATCTATCTATCTATCTATCTATCTATCTACCTATCTATCTATCTATCTATCTGAATGTGTACAACAGGGTTTTGACCAAAGATTTTACCATTGAATGATACAAAAAGTCTCAGAAACCGTGTGTATAAAACACGACCCATGGTGCTTTATAGGTCCTAACCCCCCCCTCCCCCCCCCGGGCCCCACCGGTGCAGCTGGGCAGGTTGCAGTGCTCCCAGCGGGTGTCGGGGTCGGTGGTGTAGCACCAGGGCCCGCCCCGGTCCGCGTCCGGGTTCCGGCAGTAGTTGGACTCCAGGTCGGCCCGGGGGTGGCTCTGCGGCGTGATGCTGAAACGAAAGGGGGTCACACCAAACACAACACTCTCATTTAAAAAACACATCAAAAACACCGCAAACACAATCCGATTTAATATACGTAACTTTAAGCAAATCAGATCATCGATGACAATCAGTTCTGATAAAATGTTCCTACACTCAATGATATTTTCACACATAGACTACTCCATCACAACCTACTCACTCACTGGAGACACAACTTTAAAACCAATAGAAATATTATTAACACTGCAAACACAATTGAATTGAATATACGCAACTTTAAGCAAATCAGATCATCGATGACAATCAGTTCTGATAAAATGTTCCTACACTCAATGATATTTTCACACATAGACTACCGCATCAAAACCTACTCAATCACTGGAGACACAACTTTAAAACCAATAGAAATATTATTCAAAAAATCTTAAAAAATCTTTGATCAAAAGCCCCTGTCATTCCGTCAATGTGATATTTTGGAAAAATATAATATGCTCAGTTTTGAAAACTTTATTCATTATAAAAATAGTTGTTTAATTTACAAAGTTCTGAATGGATTAGCCCCACCTCCACTTTCTACCTACATTAGGCCTGGTAGACTCTGGAGCAGCCTCCCAACAAACATCAGGGAAGGTCCCACTTTTTACACATTTAAAAAGCACCTTAAACTGTTTCTCAAAAGTTCCCAGACATGCAATCACTCATTTTAATTTTGTAATGTCATTGTCTGAACGTGTGTTTGGACTGATTTTGTATTTTGTGATTTTGTGTTGTTTTGTCTTCCTGCCTCAGGACGACAGATGCGAATTAGCAACTATGCTAGAATTTACAATCTGTATGAGATTGTTCATTAATGTGCACTGTCCTGATTAAATAAATAAATAAATGAATTAAATAAGTAAAGGAAAATAGGACGGGGGGGGGCGGTGTGTGGTTACCATGACGGCGAACCTACTTGGGCTTGTGGGGGAACCTTGCCTCCCATCTCTGACACCCCTTTCCCGTTTTCGTTCTGGACTTTGTTCCTCTGTAATCTGTTCCTATCCCGTTTACGCACTCCCGGAGATATTCTGGATAGAAAAAAGGGAATAAACACAAAAACAAAAAGTCAAGTCTGAGCCTGCAAACGTCATGTTTAAGGTCGAAAACCAGCTGTGGTGAATTATGGGACGATCGTCTTGAAATAGCTCAAGAGAAGGTGCTACCGGAAAAACTCTGCTGAGGCAGAACTTGGTCGAACAAAAATAAATTTTAATGTCAGCCAGGTCCGAAATCAAACATACAGATTGATGCATCAAGTATGGAGAGGTCAGAGAAAAACTTTGTCCTTCTCTGGGTGTGTCCGCCCTTATATTTGGTATCCCGTATCTGTACTTTTTGTCTTACGTCAGGCTGTTTTCATCCAGGCGTACAGCCCAAATATGGTTTTATCCATATCATAAACCTTTCCTTTTTTGGTCCTGCATACATATATAATATACTATATTTCATCCATAGCTTGAGCATCCTCCCTACACTCTACTTAAGGAATGTCCATCCATCCATTATCATAACCCCTTATTCTCTAATCCAGAAGTAGCCGGTTCAAATCCGGTTCAAAATTCTTCTGGATCTTATTCTCTGGTTGAAAGGTCCTGGTTCCCCCGAGGACTCCAACCCAGAACCTTCTTGCTGTGAGGCGATGGTGCTAACCCTAACCCTAACCCCAACTCTAACCCCCACACCATCGTGCCGCCCACTTTAGGAATGTGTTTTCTCAAATGTTTAGGCTCTACGAACAGAACAGTCTGAGCTTCAGACCAAACGGCAGCTGCAGAAAAAAACAAATCTTGCTGTTTTTTTAAACTCTCTCTTCCCTTGTCACTGTGTAAAATAACTGTACATTAAGGTCAACAAGATGACATAAAAATGACAACTGTACCGATCCCGTGTCAAGTCTCGCCTCAATCTTTTAAAATTGTCTGACGTTAGTCCCCTCCTGTCCACCATCCACATGTACATGTCCCACTTTGAACATGCATACACAGCATTGACAGACAAATAAACTGGCACCAGCAAACTGCTTTCTCACCGTTTTTGTCGTACAAAGCTGAGCTGCGTCTCCGCAGGATATCCTCCGTTTTGGAGTTGGAGGCGGCCGTCCAGCACTCCTGATCCTTCTCCACGTACATGAAGGACCTGCACAGAGGGCTCAGCATCAGGGGGGTCAGGGTCAGGGTCAGGGTTAGGGTTAGGGTTAGGGTTAGGGTTTGGGGGCGACTCACTTGCAGGTGAAGGAGGTTTCTGTGTTGCATTTCTCGGCGCACTCGGCCGCGTTGGTCACCATGTACTGCCGTTTGTTCAGGGAAATGACCCAGGCCCCTTCGGTTTTGGAGTAGCCCTCCACCTCCGTGCCCCCCACTGCAATCAGGGAGTCAATTACAGCCCAATATGCAAATAAATAACTTAAAGTAATTAACTCATTGGCTGCCAAAGATGTCTATAGACGTCTTTTATGTATTTTAACGAGAGTGGCTGGGGGACGATCTGCTAAAGCTTGTCCGTAAATATCGGCTTCTAGACAGAGTATGTAGTAACAAATTGACCCTCTAGGGGGCAGTGCCACTTTTGATGGGAGATGAGCATAGACTGTAGGCAAATAAGAAAAAGGTAACGGTTCTCTATGAGAGAACATGTCGCCGGTGAGACGCAAGTCCAGGAAGAACGGAATAAGGTAGAAACAAAAAAATTTTCCTGATGAAAGAAAAGAGTCTACTCTTTCTTTTGGTGTGTTCGGTGTTTACATAGTCATAGCACAAACTATTCTGTGGCTCTTGAAAAATCAGTCAAAATCCTCAAAAAACTCTGGCAGTATGGGACTCTGTTCTGAAAATGGCTGGCAGTCAATGAGTTAATGACATATTAAACATTGGTACAGTGAGTCCATTTTGTCTGTTGTGTTACTTTTGGACATTTCCACCATTCAGGACATGGGTCAGACCATCATATTTTGCATTTCAAACCTCAGAGAAAATTATTTTTAACCATTTCTCCATATCTTCTGGGTATATAGTTCACCTTAAATCGTCCCAAACATAAAAGGAATTGTCCTTTTTCTGTCTGTTACATAAAACCTGAAAAACAATGCATTTCGTTAAAATATGTGCAGGATTTTGCACACCAAGCTGCACTTTTAATAAACTAATAGTTTGATTTAAATAGATTTTTTATGTCAAATGAATCTGCTCTAAAATTGCGTTAAATTTCAAGTGATTTTCTTTCCATTTTGGTGCTTTCAAGCTTTGAATTATACAATTTTAGTGTCTGTCTGACTCATTAAAGTATTCT